CTTGTGGGAGAGGAGCAGCCTCTTGGGTGCCTGGCAGAGCTCCGCTAGCGGGGGATGCGGTGAAGCCACGTCACGCACCCCCGGCGACCCGGCCTCGCTGCACCGGGCTTTGCCAGTGGTCTCTCTTTGGTGCATCTGGGCAGAGCCGGGGCTGCGTCGCCTCGAGGACCGACCGGGCAGCTCCACGCACGCCGCACGCTGCTGCCAAATGAGAAGAAGACGGGTCCCACGACACTTCGTGCAGGTGACCCACGGTCATTTTTCGCCCGTGGGTTGGTGGCAAGTGTCCCCACGCGTGGTTTGGCCCGGGCACAGCCTCAGCAGCATCTTTAGAGGGGTTCTTGAGTTTATCCATCCGGACCTGGGCACGGTGAAAGTTAGGGCAGAGCGAGGAGGGGGACAGACGGGGCTAGCGTTGAAGCTGCACCTTCTCTTGTTGCCCACAGAGGACAGTCCGCTCGCGGGGCTGGGGGTCCCCGGGGAGGCTGTGGAGCCAGAAGGAACAGCAACTCCAGTGTACGACTTCCAGTACGTCCAGGCACAGCCTCCCTTTCCAGGCCAACCTCCAGCTCTTGGAAAGGGCTCCAGTGTCGAGCAATTCCAGTGTTGTGAAGAACGGACGCGGCGCGGCGGGGACCGCTGGCCCAGTACGGGATGGAGCTGCCATCTGCGTGCTGGGCTGGGGCAGACCCGTCCACATCCAGTCCCCGGTGTCGTGCTTTCAAATCCAGTGTTGGAAGGGGAGGGAGAAGCGATGGAGGACGCGAGCGTCCCCGTGAAGGAAGGAGAGGTGAGTTCAGGGTGGTGTGGGGTGCGAGGTGAGCCCGGGAGACACGCCGGGGCTGGCTGTGTTTCTGTGGCTTAGGTGGGTCCTGCGTTCTGCGTGTGCTGTGCTTCGGTGCCCGCGTCACCAGCCACGGCCAAACCAGCCCCACGCCGGACACGGGGCGAGGGGGGGCTGGGGGCTAGCGGAGGCGGGCGTTCCGGAGGCTCCCCAGTGTAGTGTCACCAGTCTCCCTCCTCTCTCCAACCAGAGGGCACTGGTGCTGCCAGGACTCACTCACAGAGCCAGTAAAACTGAAAATAATAGTCAGTGAAAAGGTGGCCCAGCTGCTCGGGAGCAGTGCTGCAGTTGGCTCGGCCCTGGGAGAGAGCGAGAAAAAGAGCTTACAGACAGGGGCAGGATGGGTGCTCTGCAGGGGAACTGTGCACCAGATACACGCTGAGGCAGAGAGAAATCACCCCCCTGCTCCCCGCTTGTTCAGCCTGGAGAAGAGAAAGATGAGGAGCTGCTGGAGAGAGTCCAGCGCAGGGCTACGAGGATGAGGAGGGGACTGGAGCATCTCCCCTA